ACTTACTAAGATTCTAAAGTTTATAGGGAATAAAACATGTGAAAACTAATTAAAAAGTGAATATGTAGGACTGGAGAGATGGCTCAGAGGTTAAGAGCACTGGCTGCTCTTCCAGAGGTCCTGAGTTCAATTCCCAGCAACCACACGGTGGCACACAGCCTCTATAATGAGATTTGGGGCCCTCTTCTGGCATGTAGGTATACATACAGGCAGAACACTATACATAGTAAATAAATGAATTTTTTTTTAAAATGAGCATGTAGAAAAAAATGAAAAAGAAATACAGGATAGTAGGTTTGAATCCAACTATATCAATGATCACATTAGATGTAAATGACCTAAACAGCTTTAGTTACAAGAGTCAGTTTGACTAGAAAAACAATACCCAATTTTATAAAAATCTCCAGAACCACACTTTATGAATATAAAGACTTGATTAAAGTTAAAGGATCGAGACCCTTTGTTAAAAATGATTAGAGAAAGTTGTGTGGCGAGTGCGCGCACGCACACACACAAACACACACACAAATAACCCTTGAAGGCACACACACACACACACACACACACACCCCTGAAGGCAGTATGCTCGGGTGACTGTAGATGCCATTCATTTCCTGCCCCTCGAGCGCCAATGTCTTTATTCTCCTGATTCCTGTATCTTAACAACCATTGTTTCAAATGTTTGGTCTGATTTTTTGATGTTTCCATTGGAAGGGTCAATATGGTTGTTTGAGTCCATCTTTGCCAGAAGCTGAAGTCTCTACTATTGTCTTTAAAATACCTGTTTATGTTCTTAAGAATCCTAGGCGATCACCCACACATGAGATAGACCCACGAGGTGCCCAGGAAGGCCACATATATGTGAAGACAGTCTCTGGAAGTGAGGAGCCCTTGCCTGACACTTACCGTCGTCCTGAAGAAATAGAGAGAAGGAGAGGACTGTGGTGGCTTGTGCCCAGACTGAGCCTAGAATGATGTGGTTTCATCAGGGAGCTGACCCGGAACTGGAACAGGGCTGAAAGCCCAGGAGTCTGTGCTTAGGAACTGTGCCGGTGAGGACCAGCTGCCTCTCATTGCACATAAATTTCATTTATAGGTCTGTAGTGTACCTGGGTTGCTTTTCCTCATTAGGGGTGCTGCAAAAAGGTTCAGTCAACTTCGGGCCTTGCCGTTTTAATCATCAGTACAACCCAGGTAACTTGCTGTGCACCAGATGAGTCCCCTTCATCCTGTTTCTTAATCCAGAGAAGTCTGTTTTTGGGAAATGGACCTGGCTTCTGAGTGTCTTGCCTTCACCACTGCCCGCTCCATCTCTTATCTTTAAAAAAGGAAATGAAGCGATGGGAGTTGGATTTTTCCGGGTGCATGAACATGAGTGAAATTTATGGAAGACATGTGAAAGAAGCCATTTCTTTCTCTGAATATCTCAGGGCAAAACTCACATGGAGCCGCACATGCCCAACACAGGGAAGCATGTGGCTAGGTCGTGTCACACAGCAGAGAAGAGGACATGGGCTTCTGAGTCAGACCTGCCCCCCCCGGCAGCTGTGAGAATTTGGACAAAGTCACCTACAGTCCCCAAGCCTGCTTTGGGTCTTATAAAAGAGGGGAGAATAGTCTGTGTTTTATTCAGGCATCGGAAAAATTACAAAAGGAAGGAAGAAAGCATTTTTCACCAAGCAGACACTAGAAACATTCATTTTCCCTCCTCACCCCACTCTTCCCACCTCTTCCTATCCCATCAGTCTGATCAAGTCACGCGACCGCTCTGCAGAATTTGTCACCCATAGTCACAAAGTCAAGAAGGAAGTACATCTAAAAGTAACTCCAGTTTTACTAGAAGTCTGCACCCTGAACTCTGAACATCATTTGCCCTCGTATGTCAATCAACTCTCAAATTCCCAGGACAGAGACCTGCACTACACATTACACATTAATCTCCAGGATGCTGATGTCTTTGATGGTTAATCTTCACTGGGGGCACTTAGAGTCGCCATGGAAACACACCTCTAGAAAGGGTTAACAGAGCAAGAAGATCTGTGTGAATGTGGGCTTGGGCTCCTGGACTGAGTAAAAGAGATTTCAAGTTGAACACACAAAGTTCATCCCCCTCCACTTCCCGGCTACAGATAAAATGTGTGATCAGCTGCCACATGCTCCTGCCACCTTGCCTTCCCAGCTGTGGCGGACTGTGTACTTTCAAACCGTGAGCCAAAACAAACCTTTCCACCCTTAAGTTGCTTTTATCAGGCATCTAATCCTAACAATGAGAAGTAACTAATGTAAAGTTGGTATCCATGGTTTAGTGGCTTTGCAATGATGAATTTTGTTTTGAAGTATCATAAAGAAAAGATACTTGTGAGGAGGAGAGATAAAGAGGACCAAAGATGAACACAGGAACAAAGGGATGGGTTTGTATATCTACACCTGCCATTCAAGGGAAATCTAGTGGCAACTTTACCAGCTTGGGCCAGACCTTTGCCTTTACTTCCCCAGATGGCTTCCAGGTGGTCTGGTCACAGCTCCTCCTGATGCATAGCCACTGCCTCGGACAGGCCATGCTCCACAGTGGGAGAGATGAGGTCTCAGAGCATCTCTGGGAGCAATCCCAGTCCCCATGAGCCACCCTGATATCTTAGGGAGTCAACTTTTCTCATATGGGGCCTCTGGATGTTCAGAAATGATCTTGAATGGGGAATAGTTCTATAAACACAATGGCCACCGCCCACTAACAACCACCTTTCAAAGTCCCTCTAAAATTAAAAAAAAAAAAATGTCTTTCTTGGGCCCAGCTCCTTAGACAAGCTCATGTGGAAGGCTTCCAGCAGCCATGCCCAGGGATGCTGAGCATTCTCTTTTCTTGCGTGGTGGAGAAGGACCTTGGACTCCCTGAGAACCTGATCAGACTAGGCCTTATAACTTTGACATAGATGGGTGTCAGCTCCAGCCCATAATGTGGGCCACCTAGAGCCTCAATTTTGTGCTGATAAAAATGACCCAGAGAGCATCAAAGAAGCCTGAAAGAAATAAACTTATCAGTGAGCTTTGTAATTGGTAAAGTAAGGTATGACTGTGTTTCAGATATTTTAATTCTACTTACAATCAATTGCTTAGAATCTTTATTTCAAGTTGTTTTCACTAAAATTTTGAGAGTCAGCATTTCTTTTGGTGCAAACACTTATTTTGTAATCTGGTGAAAAATAAATGGCCGTTTGACGAACCCATGAGGCACCCGTGGTTCTTTTCCCCTCTGTGAAGAGTGCAACTTCTCCTTTTCCTTTCTTCTGCCTCTTTCCTTCTGAGGCTGGTCAGAACCTAAGTGTGCTTCCTCCAGCACTGCACACGTGGGGCTCCCGACCTTTCTCTGTAGCCCCTCCCTGCCGTGAAACAGAACCCCTTTAACAGGTAGTGAGGGGCCTCTGTGCTGGAAACTTAAACAGCACCACGCTCTTGTTTCTTTCTTTTTCCCTTCTCTTCCTTCACCAACTGACACATTGAAAAGATCTAAACTAGGGGTAGCAGTCAGGCCTCATGCTGGTTTACCAGCTAGGCTGCTGCAAAGGAAAAGTCAGGATTTTCTGAGTAATTCCACAGAGCAGGCAGGTGTGGCAAAGCCCTGTGGTGATGGCTCTTGAAGCAACTCCACAGAAGGGGCGTTTCTGGGAGGGACACGCACACTATCTCCTCACAGGGACAGTCATTCCTCCTGTCTCCTTAGCAAGACTTTAGTAGAAGCAGTCTTACAAGGGGTGGTCTCTTGGCCAAGAGATTGACAGGTCCAAATGGATTATCTCCTAAGGGAGGAGCAATAGTATGAAACATTCGAATCTTTTGAGACAGATCAGACTGCCACGTTGCCAACCAAGGCCAAAAGGTATTCTGTTCTTTTGACCAGGCCTTAAGAAATGGCAAAGCTGATGTTTGTCTTTCTAGCGTTACCAGCGGTGTGGGAGGTGGGGGCCAAAGCTTTGGTGACATCCAAGACCATGGAGAATGGACATCTGGGTAAAGCTGATTAACCCCTTGTGGGAAAAGCACAGTAAGCTGTGACACCAGATTCCCTCCAGACTATGTGTCAAGGACCTCTCTTTTTCACATGTGTCTCCCATCCCCTGGAAACAGACTGATACTCATCAGTTTGTCTCCAGCTCTACAGCAGGCTGAGGAAAATGACATAGCTACAATCGGTGGCCTTTTGGACTCTTCAGAATATAGGATCTGTCTAGCCTGTCCCTCCTGGAGGAAGCAGGAGGGAAGGATGGATCTGGTGAGGAATGTTCCAGAACTTGCTTCCTTGCCTTGGGTGCCCCGAGATGAAGAAACCTCACTGCCTTTCTGAGAGATCCAGAGGGAAAAGGAAGACTTTCCTGCTGTGGTTTAGGAAATGCATTTGCGACCAAGAGAGAGCGGTGAGAATCCATCCTGATGCAGTTCAGTGCTGTCAGGGAAGGAACCAGCTCAGAGCAGAGCCAAGACAACTAGGAGTCAGCACCCTGCCTTGTGGCACATCTGAAGGGACCCAGAGTCCCCTTGGGAACCTCAGATGCACGTATTACACCTGTGTGTCCCTTCAAAATCAACGGCAAGCTTTTGCTTCCACGGTTCCATTTGTGTTTACAAATATAATAACTGAGCAAAGAAAACTTTAGCCTTTTGTTTCTATTTTTATTGTTGATGTATACAGAGATCCAGACACACAGGGGTTAGGTGGGCTTTGATGCTCTTCTCTGCATGAAGCGCCAATGGCAATATCATTTTTATTGAAAGAATGGACCACGAATTCTATATAGCAGAGGGACAGACAGCCTGAAAATGTGACCCACGGCCACATCCCAGCTTATCAAGCCAACAAAGTTGCTCTAGAATATTCTCTAGACATAGTTTCCATGTGATCCATTTGCTGTCTGCATTGCCTGAGGCCTAAAGAATCCCAGACTTTCCTAAGCTAACACACAACCCGGCTTGTCTAACCTGAAGAGAACCAAATCAGTGGCTCGTTCTTAGGCGTTTCTTTCCCATGGTTCAATATAATCCAGTCCCAGGTGGGCAAAGATCTCTTCTTCACTGTCTGCTTCAAGAAACACCCTCTGGAAGCGTAAGGAGAAACACACACACTCAATAGCTTTCCCTCAGCTTCTCAGCGCAGTCACACTGAACCACCTCCCACCTGCTCCTGAATATGAAAGGTCAGAGGAAGCCAGGGTGTGGTGACCCCCACCTGGAACCCCAGCACTTGAGATGCAGAGGCAGGAGCCTGGGCCACAGAGTGAGACCTTAACCCAAACAATCAAACAAACAACAAAAGCCCTAGTGACTGCTTCCTGTACTTTCGACACTTTCCCATCCAGGAAATGGCATGTGTGAATCAAGGCAAAATAACGACACAGGGAATTCTTTTCTAATTCTTCTTGTTTGTGTGTGTGAGTGCATGTTGACATGTGGACGCATATGTGTGGAGATGCATGTACGTTCGTGTGTTCCATGTGGAGGGCAGAACTCAACACTAGATGATGTCTTCCTCTACCATTTTCCTTTTTTTTTTCTTTTTTTTTTGAGACAGGGTTTCTCACTGAGCCAGTAGCTTATAATTGACTAGACTGATTAGCTCCAAGAATCTGCTTGTCTTGGCCTTGCCAATGGCTAGAGTTACGGATATGTCCCACTCCTGGCTGTTATGTGGTGCTAAGGGTCTGAACTCAGGTCCTCGTGCTGGCACAGCCATCTCTCTGGCCCTACTGGTCTCTCCTAATTTTAAAATGTTTAAGTACATGGGTGTTTTGACCACGCATATGTCTGTATACCACATTCATGCTTGGTGCCTGAGGGGGCCAGAAAAGGGCATTGTAGCCACCATGTGGTTGAATCAAACCCAGACCCTCTGTAAGAGCAGCCAGTGTTCTTAGTCACTGAGCCATTGTTCCAGTCTAGACCCTTATTCTTAACCATAATTGTTCTTTGGAACCATTTGATGGAGCTTTTCTTTTCCTCCTAATAAAATAGCCTGAAACACGAGTCACACTCCAGCCCAGTGAAGTCAAAGCACCAGAGAAGTCTCGCCATCAATCTATTTAAGGTTCTAGACTATTCTAATGTGCAGCAGAGGGACAAACTGCTGGTCAGGGCAGGCTGCTGTACATGCTGCGTCCTCTCGAGCCTCCTACACCTGCGCACAGGCTCCACCCTCCAGCTTCTACCCCTTGGTCTCTTTCAGGCCAAGCACTTCTTCCTCCGAGTCCCTTCTAATACACAGCACCATCCTGGGCCCAGAACTGGCGCCTGTTGAATTATTTATTACACGGTCACTCGCAAGCCTCCCTGACCTGAACTCTATAGCTCTGCCTTCCTCTGTGTGCTCAGTGTGTGAGGCTATTCTGCCAGGACCTACTGCCTCCTCCTCCGGGAGAAGCACCTTGAATTTCTATAAGGATTCGCTTTCCCCTTCATCCATGAGGATGTGGGGCTGCTCCCATCTCTAGGGAGAAGCACACAACCCAAATCTGGCTAATGGGTACCATGGCAACGGACTAATAGATGAGCACATGACCCTAGCCTGGTCAATGAGCAGTTAGAATCCATGCAAAAAACTAGAAAAAAAAATCTTTTCTGATAGAATAGCTGGATAAATGGGACTCATGGGAAAACCTTGCCTGACAATGAGAACAACCCCAGAAAGCCCACCTGAGCACCTGGATACATCCGTACCTGAATGCAGTGTTGCCCCAGAGACCGCAGTATTTGCCCAAACTCCTTTTCTTTTACTTAAGGTATTTTCATTGTTAGTTTCCTTTAAACTCTGATAAACCATGAGAGGACAAGGAGATCAATTTTTTCTTTCAAGGCAGGGTTTCTCTGTGTAACCCTGGCTGTCCTGGAACTCACTCTGTAGACCAGATTGGCCTTGAACTCACAGAGATCCTCTTGCCTCTGCCTCCCAAGTGCAGATTAAAGGTGTGCACCTGGCCAGAGATCAGATTCTTTTAGACTCTTTTCCTCTAAGCCTAATTTGGTGCTCTTGACCACTATAAGAACAGTAGGCCTTTTGGCTTATGGATTTGACAGTAGACTTGCTAACTCTTCATCAGCCTCATGGTAACTTGTCACTGTTCTGAGGCATGACTGAACAAGGCACCACCATCAAGCGAGTTCCCCACGATTAGTGACTGAGGTCTGAGGGCTTCCCATCCGTCTCTGGGCACCTGTGTTACTCTACTGCGGGAGATGTTCCTTAATGACCCACTCAGAACATGACTGCATTGGTATTCCTGCCACCTTTAGGACTTGTAGTGAGTCTTTATTTTCTTGGGAGTAAATGGCTGTAAACATCAGGAATATAGCAACTCAATTCTGGCCACCTCTGTGCTGGCCCTGGAGCCCATCAGCTCATTAGTTGACCCAGAAGCTCCAGAGTTGCACCCTGGGTCAGGGGGGCACTACCGTCTGAGTAGATGTGGTCCCACCCCTTTCAACTGTGTTCTGCAGAGAACAGAACATGTGTAGTGGAGAGAAGCAGACCTGGACACTAAAATCAGTTTGGGTTGGAGTGAGGGTGGGATAAGAGAGACCAGTAGGAAAAGGGGTTTTCTGCCAGTCCTGAGAATCCGAGTTCAATACCTAGAACCTACATGGTAGGATAGAACCGGCTCCTCCAACCTCCTCATGCCCCCTTTTCTCCCACTATAAAATAAATAAAGAAATACAGTAAAAAATTGTTTTAAAAACCTGTTCAAGGGAAGGGTTTGGGGGTAAAGGTCAGTAGCCCACCTCAGGAAGGAGACACTACCTTGGTCTTGTCATACAGAGCATGATTGTCCAGAATCATCTTCCGCTCATGGCTGGCGTAACGCCGCAAGTCTCTCTCAAACTGCTGCAAGGTGAATTAATATAAATTACCGTCCTCATGTGGTATTTAGAACCATCCTGCACCCTCAGGTGTTTGAAACTGCCACCTGCTAGCATATTTTCTTGTGTGATTTTCTTCCTCAGGGCCAAGGTCCTGGGTGGCTGAGCTCTGGGATCCCTGCACTAGAACACAAACTTGGTTTGAACCAGAAACTTATTGGCTTGGTCCCTTGTCAGGCGGTGTCCAGCAGGCAGCAGAAAGCGTGTAAATATCTGGATAAAATGGACAGTGTGGGCATTGTTTATGGGAAAATACCTGGTCCAGAGTGAATGCCGCCTAAGTCGTTTTCGGTTTTAAATACCATCATTACAAAAGAAGGTGAGGAATGGGAAGATCGTGGCCCAGATTTGGGGCCTATCCCTGCGTCCTTTGGCACACTACCCAGCCTTTCTGAGCCTTGCTTTGTCCCACAATGGAGGGAGTACTCGTGAAGGCCCCCCCCTCTTTGATGTCCACCCATGCTGAGACTCTGTGAAGAGTCACCTGCTCCTGGATGACATCTCTCATGATCAGGAACACACCCTGAAAATCTGAAAACTAGGAAGGGTGGCAAGCAAACCCTAGAAACGAGGACAGTGAATCACACACACTGCTGCTGGCTTCCCTAGAGAAACCCAGGTCTGGAAAACTGTCTTTTCCCCTGGCATTGGTGAGAACGCCTGGGACCGGCGCGCCCTCTAGTGGGGAGAAATGATTTCCTCTTCACTGGAAAGTTTCTGTAGCTGGTGCAGACACAACCAGCCTTGAAGATCAATCAATTGCAGGGAACAGATTGGCTAGCACAGATTAGGGAAGTTCCAGGTCCTATTTAGCTCACTGCCACCGGATCCTAGCTCTTGTCTGGGCAGCAGTTGCCCACATCTCTTGCTGGTTTGCAAGCATCTGGAGAGGCTGAATGGGGTCAATAAAGGGTTTCTCCCAGCTCCCAGCCCCCAGCCCTGTGTGGTTTGGGAGAGACAAATGTATTCTTAAACTCCTCAGCCAAGGCCTTCAGAGCATTTCTGTGCGTGCAAAGAGAGATACGGTTCACTAAACAGAGTGCCAGCTCCTGCCAGTTCCTCGGGGAGCTGAGAGTCTAGCAGGGAACACAGACTGTGGGCGGATAGGAAGCCTGTGCTGGGGACTTACTGAGCAGGCAGGACTGCCATGGTGGGGCACCACTGAACAAGGGCTTGAAGAGAGTGATAAAAACCAGAACGGCTCAAGAGAGTTGTGCTGGACAGTTTGATGTCAACTCGACACAAGCTAGAGTCATCTGAAAGGAGGGAACCTCAACTGAGAAAATGCCCCCATAAGATCCAGCCGTAGGGCATTTTCTTAATTAGAGATTGATGGGGGAGGGCCCAGCCCTTTGTGGGTGGTGCCATTCCCTGGGCTGCTGGTCCTGGGCTCTATAAGAAAGCAGTTTGAACAAATCACCATGAGGAGCAAGCTGGTAAGCGGCACCCCTCCATGGCCTCCACACCAGCTCCTGCCTCCAGGTCCCTGCCCTGCTTGAGTTCCTGTTCTGACTTCCTTTGTTGATGAACTATGACACGGACATGTACACTGAAAAACCCTTTCCCCCCAAGTTTCTCTGGTCACGGTGTTTCATCACTGGAGTAGTAAATCTGACTAAGAGAGGAGTCCGGTCCTTTCCTGAGACCCAGAGATTTGCTGGGGTGGAGGTGGGTGGCTGCCACACAGGCCACATGCTGGGGGCTGAATCTACCAGGGAAACAATGTATTACTTTTGAGAAGTACTAGATTGGACCTTGCGGACTCAGACAAGAGGCAGCCCCTCTGATTCACATCAGCTGCAACTCACTGGTGCTCTTTCCTGCTTCTCTCCCTTGGGTAGAACCAAGCCACACTCACCCTCTTTCTTTGTAGGAAAGGCCCAGGTGGGCTGGCCAGCCCTGAGATGGGGGGTCCGGAGTGGCAGCAGCAGCAGTAGAAGGAAGACCAAGTGTGACAGAGCCTGCAGGCCCCCCTGGTCTACGGTCTACCAGTGACCTGGGATGCCGCCCTGAGTTAAAAGGGAGAACTAAGGAGTGCCATACGTCTTAACAGGATCCTGTGGCTTCAGGCTAGGGCTAGATAAGATACTCAGACAGCCTTATTGTGGTGCAGGCAGTGACCTCCTGTGCCGGGCTCAGTGCCAGCTGCCTTGTTCTGTGAGTGCTCGGCTGTGCTACATGACTGCAGATGCTTAACAAGAGCCCAGCGTTACCTCTAAGGGAGGAGCTGGGGTGCCCAGCTGGACTCCAGCTTTAAGACAAGCCACCGAGTCCTCAGCAGAGCCCTGCGGGGTTAGTGCTGCTCTCAGCCTGAAGAAGGCCCAGGGAGTGTCATTTACCCAAAAACTGTGAAGCCAGGGATAGAGCAAGGTTCATCCTCCTGAATCTCTAATTTTCTTTTTAAAAACCTCACCAGTCTCTTAGAGCAGCCCTGGGAGACAGCAGGTGCGCACATGGTCTTGTGCTTCAGACAAGATATGTAGATAGTAGGTAGAAGCTACAAAACCATGGTGCAGTTGCATCCTTGTTTGCAGCAGACTTGAAGCTGCGGCCTGGGCTGGTGCAAGCTGTGCACTGTTGGCCCTGGAGGGTGCCATTCACATCCTGTAGGGCTAGGAAGCTTGTCCAAGATCGGTCAGCTGAGCAGAAGCAGGCTGAACCCCTAGGACTGAATCCATCTGGGCCACTCACACTATACTGCTTCCTGGGTTTACCTAAGATACCTCCTAGTTGCCTATGGGATTTTCAAATAGGTTTCTGGGCTTAGGTGCCTGGAGTTTCTGGTGTAGTGGCATACAGTGTGGTGGAGAATTTATAAATCTAACCTGTCCCCAGGGAAGGCCACTGCTGCTGGCTTGGTGAGCAGCACCTTGGGGATAACTGGTCTAAACGAATCTGACTCACGAGACCATATGTCAATATCATAGCCCAGTTTAGGGGCTTAGGGGCATTGTCTCCTCACTCTCCCCGGGGCCAGGACAGCTAATGGCAGACAGCCCTTACCCTGGAGCCAGTCCATCCGAGCAGCGCGAAGGCCCGGCGGTCATAGGGGCACATGACCAAATCTACACGGATGGCCTTCCAGTCCTTTCCTTCCTGCTGGCTGCTCTTGCCACTGCCCACTCTCTGGTGGTGTAGCTTCAAAATCAGGAAGCATTTCTGGAAGTGGTCGAGGGCATCCACCTTCCTGCTCGGCAGCTTGAACTTTTCGAATGTCGACTCTATGAGGTCACAGTACAAAAGCAACCCCTGAAAAGAGAGGGAGCAAGTTCAGAAAGGACCCTCCGAGCACCCTTACCATCTTAAAGGAAGCCATTTCAGAGCTGAACAGATGTGGGTGGACTTTCGTCCTTGCTCGCTCAGCAGCTAGGAGAGGATGTGGGAAGCAGTTCTCAGACTCTCTCTACAGAAAAGGAATTTCTCCATGAGAAAGACTGAGCCCAAACTACTCAATGATAAAACTTCAGAGACCCCACCTCTCCTTGTCTGGACAACCTTGCTCCTTTAAAAGCAAACCACAATGAAGAGAAAGCCACACTGTTTCCTATGTGTCCCAATGATGGTTGCCTGACTGGGTCAAAGGGTTCAGGCCCAATGTGGGATATGGTGACCTGCTGCTTCTGTTGGTTTCTGTCTTTTTTTTTTTTTTTTTGCAGTGTTGGAGATTGAATCCAGGGCTAGACATTCTACCACCGAGTATAACCCAGACCCTGAAATGATGCTTCTCCTGAGAGAACTATCTGCCTATCTTGGAGGCAGTAGGAGAAAGCCCATGATGCCTGTTCCATCTCAAGTTTCTGTGCAGAAAATGAAGATGTGATTTAAAGGAGTACCAGTTTAGCACCGGCCCCTGGGAGTTCCTCTGCTCCACACAGCAGTAGCACTTGGCTGGTAATAAATGGGAGCATTCTTGGGTGAATTGAACCTGAACATGTCAAAGCTTTGACTAGAATGTTCCTTCTGGTGCCCAGTGCTCTCCACGGTAGAGCCAGCTTTTTGCCGGGTGTCCCCACTGTTTGCAGTTCGCTTCCCTGTCCCTATTTCTCTCGATGTGATTTCTCTCCTCTGGAGCCGCTTTGAGGGTGGGCTCTGGCTTGGCCTTCGGTGCCCGTGGTTGTCTTTCCAGTAGAAACGGAGTGACCGTCCCAGTTAGGAAGGAGGCGTTTCCCACCATATCTTCCCTCTAGTCCCAGGGTGTGGAGCTTGGAGGAGCAGAGCAGCTCAGCTTTTCTTCAAACACAGAGGAGGCTCCACCCTCTCCATCTTAGTGGACCAATTAACCCCAGGATATACCAAACCAGCAGTGTAAGAGCAGGAAGGGCTGTTAGGGGGCCCAGTGAGGGGTTCCGCAGCCAGCAGCCCTTCTTGCCCTTTGTTTTTGGTCCCTTCCATCTCCTTGGAGGAACCAGTGTCTGCTATTCAAACTGAAGTCAGTTTTCCAAAGTGAGGGCAGTCATCCCTCAGTCATCCTGGTAGCAAAATTCACAGATGCTCAACACACAAAGTGGTAGAATTTTGCATATGAGCCACACACCTCCCTGGAGACTTTCAATCACTTCTAGGTTAATTACCTAATACTATGTAAATGAATATATTATTGTCATACTGTATTGTTAGAGACTGAAGATGGGGGGGGGTGTCTATACATGCTCGGCATAGGTGTGGGTTTTTATTTTATTTTATTTTTGTTGTTGCTTCTGTTTGTTGTTTCTAGTATCTCTTCCCATCCAAGGTTGGTTGAACTAAGGTCCCGGTCATAGAGGGCTGACTTTAAACTCCTTTTGGTTCTGGGTAGCCTGGAATGAAACTCAAGGTTACCCTCCGGCCTTAGCCTCCTGAATTGCTGAGGTGACAAGCATGAGCCACCATGCCTCCTTCTCAACATTCTGAATCTCCCAGAAGTTCCATGAACTCCAAGGGTGACAATCATGAAGTTAAGTTCCTTGTACCGGGGTCCTACTCACGGCTCATGAACCCAAGCCTGACTCATGTCCTCTCCTTCCTTTGTGGTGAACTGCTAGCAGCCACAGTTGGAATTCAGGCAGAAGGCATGTCTCGGGAACTCTGACCTCCCTGAGACCAGTGTTTCCAACCTCTTCAGCCTCCTCTCTCCTACCTCTGACCAAGGGGTTTTCTCCCAAGGGTGCCATTTAAGGCCACCTGATGGAAGACCATACCGAGGCCCCTGGTCTGTTCAACATACTTCTCAGACATTCAAGCATCTTTTGGGGATGTTGTGCACGGTCAGTGAGAGCACACACATGTGTGGGCACTGTGCACAGCACACGGCTGTGCTTACGTTCATCTGTAAAGAGAAGTTCAGTGTAAGGATGGCAGGGGAGGGAAGTGAAGTGCAAGCAGAAGTCAAATTCTACGAACTCTGTCAATTTCACAGCTGAGGCCCTGGACATGTGTCCAGGGAAGGGACACCTTCTCCATGAGGGAAAGGGAAGGGGAAGGAGAAGGGGAAGGGGGCTGACCTGCTGGCTGCTGGGTCCCCTGCAGCCCAGTGCCTGGCTCGCACACAGAGATCAATAAGCAACCCTGCCAGTGATCATCCCAGCCTCCATTTGTTGGTTATTTACCATCTGTCAGGCACTCCAGAGACAGCCATCCCCCTCTATCCCCTCCTCCTCCCCCCACCGCAACTGAATCTCCTGCTAGCACAGACAGGAAATGGACCATGAACCGTTAGGGACCATCCCTGGTTGCACCACCACTGCCTACTTCCGAAGTCTCAGATCAGACTTCAGTGTTTTACTGCAGGGCCTGGGACTATAATGCCGATCCCTAGGGACCACAGCAGGAATACCTGCAAACTGGCCAGGCAAAGAGGGCTTCCCCTGCCCCTTCTCTACTCCAGAGAGAGTCTCAGCATGAGAACAATGGCACAACAACAAACATCAGTGAGTTTCCAGCCTCCAGTGTGGCAACAGGCCTGGGGGAGAGATAGCCTGTGGCCTGCCAGTGAGAGCCTTTCCTCTCCGCTGCTCCCCCAGCACAGAGTACTGGACAAGTGTCTACTCTTCTAGTAGTGTCTTCTGACTGAGCTTATCTTCTCTACTCTCAGGGGCTCCAGTGCTCATTCTGTGCTCAGTCTCCTGAAAGGGACAGGGAGACATGGCATGGTCCCACAGATGAACTTGGAGCTGATTCTGAAACCTATGGCTCTGGGGCTGGCTATTTCTAGCTTCCACTCTGTCTGGTCTCCCCTCTCTGGTGTATCGGTGAGCTTGGCCCATGCCCAGCAGACATTGTCTAACCAGAAAGGGGGAAGCTGCACTAGGGAAACTCAGGTCCAGCCTCCTCCACTCAGTCAGACCTGCAGGGTCCTGGGGGAGAGAGAGCCCCTTTTTCTCTCTAGAAATTGGTGCTTGATGCTGATGTGAAGGCCAGAAGTCAGATGGCTTTGGATGTGGGATTAGTTTAACTCAGCTTCGACCATTAACAATGGGTGGTACCTATTGGCCATGACCTCTGCGTGGTCCAGGCTACCCTCATTGGCTTTCTTCTTCTAACAAAATGCATACGTGGAATGTATAGCTTAGGGATGTGGGATTTCCCTCTGTATGCTGTTTTATTACCATTGGTTAATAAAGAAGCTATTTTGGCCAGAATAAAGGCAGGCGAGAAATTTGAACATATATATATATATATATATATATATATATATATATAGAGAGAGAGAGAGAGAGAGAGAGAGAGAGAGTAGGCAGAGTCAAAGAGACACCATGTAACTGCTAAAGGAGACAGACACCATGTAGCTGCCCAAGAAGCAAGAAGTAACAAACCACGAGTCTCGAGGTAAAATAAAAAAAAAAATTGAAATGGATTAATTTAAGATATAAGAGCTAGCTAGAAAGACACTTAAGCTATTGACCAAACAGTGTTGTAATTAATATAGTTTCTGTGTCATTATTTGGGTCTGCGCAGCCGGGAAATGTAAGAGTAATCTCCATTTACAGCCTGGGGCCCAAAGCTGGTCCATCTCATGCCAGCCGTGGGGTGCCATAATGAGGTGTTACAAACACAATTGACAATTTACTGTACAATGATCATGTAACATAAAATTAACAGTGCTTGGGGCTGGGGAGATGGATCAGTGGTTAAATCATGGGTATGTAATCACGAGGACCCTAGTTTCAAATCCCCAGAACCCATAGGAGTGCTTGGTAGACATGACAGTCTGCCTACAATTCCAGCCTCAGAAGGTGGAGAAAAGGGGTTTCCAGAGCAGGCTGGCTAGTAGGACAACCTGTATCGAAAAACTCTGGGTTTGATTGGGAGACCCTGTCTCCCAATAAATAAGGTGAATAAGGTGAAGAGTGACAAAGGATGAACCCCAGCATCAGCCTCTAGCTCTTCATGCACCCCCACATGTATGCTTATGCATGTGCAAAACATGCACACATCCATTCACACTCTCACACACATTGCTAGACATACACACACCACACGTACCACAATACTAGACATACACACATACCTCACATACACTTTCACACCACACATACAACACTACACATACACACACACTCACATACTTATACCACACACACACTCTCATACAATACTCTCACACACACATACACACACTCACAAATTCTACACATACACACACATGTGCATACACATACACACATACTCATTCATATACACACACATCATAGAAAAGAAACAAGCGAAAAGCACCGCTCCGGGGGTCTTGAGTGGCAAGCCGTTGTCTTGGTCTCCTCACCTGCTGTCCCCATAAGTCTGTCACTTTATGCAGGAGTTGCTGCTCTTCTTCCTCTGTGGCTCCTGGGCTGGTAATTAGAAAGTCTACATCATGCCCAGTCATCTTACCCCTAATTCAAAAAAGCACAGAATGAAAATCAGTTATAATTTTAGTCCTTCATTTAAAAAAAAAAAGTCTTTGTTTCTATGTCTCAAGTGTGAGGTTTGTGGTGCAAAATGCTCACAATATTTTAGATCAGCTGTTCTTGGTTGTCCACCTCTACTTCTTACGAACCAATTCAAGGCAGGAAATTCACATGTGGTCTGTAGATTGTAGTATACGGATGGGAAGAAAGTAACAAAGATTACTTCTACACCCAGCACATACACACAGAAACATGGATGACAGTAAGTATCCTACCAAGAGCTATGGCCATACCATACAAGGTAGCCTTCTTGGAATTATGGTGTGAGTTAAGGGATTTTTCTTTGTCTCCCCTCCCCCCCTTTTAAAAGGCAGGGTCTCCTATGGTCCAGACTGACTTTAAACTCATTGTGAAGCTGAGGATTACCCTGGACTTCTTATCCTCCTGCCTCTGTGCCCCCAACAAGCACTGGGGTTAGAGGTATGTGTCACCACACCTGGTTTATTCGATGCTGGGAATCAGTGTCAGGGTTTCCTTCACGTCAAGCAGGCATTCAACCAACTGAGTGACAACCTCAGCCCAGGGATTTAGATTTAGTCTTCTTTGATCCAAGTGACCAGGTAAGGGCTCAGGAGAAGTAGGTGAAGGGCAGGAGGGATGGACCCCTTTCTGATATCCCTTTCTCATATGGAGGCATTTGGTATCCAACTGACTGCATGCATTTCTGAAGACTTGTTCACTTAGCTGTCACCGACTCAACCAAACTTTCTTGAGCACCTGCTTTGTGATTGGGCTCATAGTCTGGTCTCAGTGGGAACTAGCCCCCACTAGCTCCACACAGAATGCACACATGGTGTAGCCGGCATCTGGGAAACATGGAAGAAAGTCCCTAATCCAGCACAGAGCAACAGCGAGTCAAGGAGGGCTTGCTGAAGCAGCATCTAAACTGAGTCTTAAGGAATGAGAAGTCAGACAGTTGCCAATTTTACAAAAGTACAGGGAAAATTTCACCTGACCAAAGTTCCAGAAGCAAGACACAGCTCTGTATGCAAGGGATGCCTAGCCATTTGGAGCTCCATAATGCAACGCAGGGGACAGGAGTCAGAGCAACAAAGAGAGCTGGCACTGGGTCAGGATGAGCCTTTCGCACCATTTCAGAGGCAGGTAGGAAAGGGGTGCTGAAACAATGACATCGCTTACCTGCGGAACCCCCCAGTCATGGTGACCAAGGCATCTGGAAGAAATGCTGCAACCGCCTCCTTGACTAGCACGCTGGTGGCCTCTGCTTCTGCCCTGTTCACACAGCTAACAAGGTCTTCGTAGTAGAGGAATCCTGAGAGGCCATTTGGCCGGCCAGTGGAAAGAAATCACACATAAGGCGACCCAGTGTTAGTGGGAGAGGATGCTGTCTCAGACAGGGCTTGGATCAGACTATGCACAGAGCACAGTCATCTATGGTGTTGTCTTGTTTGCTTGCTTGTGGGCTTTTCACAGTCACAAGGGAGCTTTGGATTCTCAAGGAGAGGTCTACAATGTCCTAATTAAAGGAAAAGTATTCAAATCCTTCTGGGATGTGAACTCTTCCTATCTGATGTCACAATGAAGAGCCAGCACAGTCGCATCTTCCTCCTCTTCCTCCTCCTCTTCCTTCTCCTTTTTCTCCTCTATTTTGAGCAAAGGTCCAGTTGTTTCCGAGCTCCTAATTCTTCTGCATTTGCCTCCCAAGTGCTGAGATTACATGTGTGCAGCACCATGTCCAGCCTTCTTAACCAACAAACTCTATCACACTATTTAAAAGAGGGATGTGGGGCTGGCGGTGATGACTCGCACTGTTAATCCCAACACTCAGGAGGCAGAAGCAGGCAGATCTCTGTGAGTTCCAGGACAGCCTGGTCTACATAGTGAATTCCAGGACCGTCAGAGCTACACAGAGAAACTTTGTCTTAACCCTTGACCCAAGAGGGGAGTGGTGTCTCAGGACTTGAATTGATGGCTTCTTTAGAAAAGTGAAAGGTCATAAGAGGAAGTAGATGGTCTGTGTCCAAAGCAAAGCCAAGTGCCTTGGAGAGGCTGATGTCTTCTTCTGGGCCTGAGAACTATAAACCAATGACTGTTCAAAAGCGATGTCATGAGGGAGAGGGAGTAGGGGCATCTGGCTAGTCCCACCGAGTGTTTGGAGGGAGGCAGACAAGGAAAGATGCCTAACTCCAAGGATTAGGGTGAAGTACTAAGGGAAGCTGGGTGTGCCTGAGACAGTTACTCAAGCTTCTATACAAAACACTGAACTTTCATTAAGGGTCCCCAAAGGGGACCACCCAAATGCCACTTGACAAGCAGGAGACATACTCCCCTAGAAGCCGCTGATTGGCACAACAGGACACAGAAAACCTGTTGTTCCTTGTCTCTCACCCCAGGACGCCAGGAGGCCAGGAGGCCATTTGGCTTGGGCAAGTTGTCAACAAAGCTCCCAGGTTCAAAGCCATCTGTGATCTCTAAATGGGACAGTTGCAGGAACGTGTTGACAGGATGAAGAAAAGATGCTCATGCTGATACCCCCATCACTCGTCCCTACCAAGCCTGATGCTTGAGGAGCTACAGTCTTCATATGAATACTGATGTCTTTTCTAGCTGTATTGTTAACAGTCACCTTTATACTGGGACACAGCTCTCTCTCTCTCTCTCTCTCTCTCTCTCTCTCTCTCTCTCTCTCTGTGTGTGTGTGTGTGTGTGTGTGTGTGTGTGTGTGTGTGTGTGGTTTGGTCCACAGAGCAACACTCCACTAATCTTTAATAGAGAAACTGCCAGCATCACTGGCACTCAAGTACAGCTCAGCTGGTACCTGGAATTCCCCATGTTCCCTCACGATGTCCATGCACATGAAGTTATGATTTTTCTAAAGAAGGTGTAGCTGTCAGCCAGCACCTCACACCTGTATTCCCAGGACTCAAAGCACTGAAGCAGAAGGGGCACAAGCTCAAGTCTATCTGAATGAAACATGATGTCGCTTCCCACTTCCTCTGTGTGTGTTAGCAGTCCTCACTCTCCTTCCAGTCCGTCTCCTTGGCACTTAAGTTTAATGATTGCAAACATTTCTTTTAAAAGGTATTTCTAGAGTTGGTGTAAAACACACTTACTAGATGTGTATTCTGGGGTCCAGAGTAGAAAAACTAGATCTTTTTTCTTAGACTATTATTTTTAAATTTCCTGTGTGGCATTGTATAAAGTTTAATAGGAATTCCTCAGACATCAACAAATCTAAGCAAGGACTCAGTGGCTAAGAGCACTTGCTGCTCATCCAGAGGACCTAGGTTTGATTCCTGGAATCCACGTGGTGGCTCATAAGCAGCTGTAACTTCACTTCCAGGGGATCTGGTGCCCTCTTCTGACCTCCATGGACACTGCACACATGTGGTGCACAGACATGCATACAGACAAAACAACCATGTACATAAACTAAAAAAAAAATATTTTAAAACAGAAATCAGCAGGGTCACAACATGAATGAGGGTCTTCTATAGTGTCACTGGTGGGATGCCCAAGATAGGATCTACCTCCTCTACTGTTTCTTGTGATTTCGTTGCCTTTGGTCTGTCTGTCTGTTGTTATGACTTGAGTAGAAGCTACCTATTGACTACCCCACACACCCAGCCTCTGCTAGAAGGCTCCATTACTTCCATAGCTCCTCTTGATAGCTTTACAATTCTCCATAACTTCAGAAGCCAAGCACTTGAAATTATGGCTGGAACTTCCTCTCCCTCTTGAAGGACAGTTTTACTCTATTTTTTTATTGCATGTTAAAAGCAAACAAATCTTACACATTTGGGGGTTATTAACTGTATTTCCTTATTTCTGAATAAGGTCCCAACACAGTCCATGGAAGGAAATGACCTGACTACCATGGAGGACTTGGGGGCCTTGCGAGACTTTCAGATGATGGTAATAATTCTTCTGTCCCCACACTGCTCTGAGGTCTCTTCAGGCTCTGCTTGGATAGATCAAGGCTGTGCCTAGATTGCTGCCCGTTTCTGTTTTCCAGTCCCTAGCACACTGTCGCAGTGTGAATTGACCCAGTGTGAGTCTAGTTTGTTCAAACACTCCTTTCTCTCCTTCCTCCATGTCAGCTTATCCCTCTACCCTCAACTCTTCAGTGCATGCTTCTTATCCAGAAAGACAGTCAAACCCAGTTGTCTAGAGAAGGCTGTTGGAAGCCGGACAGCGCCCACCCTGCTTTGATATCTGCAATCAGCAGCCCAGGAAGAGACCTTGTTCTAGGCTAAGTTTAGAGCTTTGTGTGAGCTGATGTGTTTCCCGGTTATCTCAGTTCATCAATGAGATAACGAAGGCTCAAGGTTTTAACCAGATCACACAGTGACGAGTGCTGGAGCTGAGATATACCTGACTCCCCAGACTGGAGCCCAGGTAAAAGTGACCTCCATATCACTCTCCCCTGACAAGCCGAGAGCGACCGTGATTTTCCCGATTCCTTTACCTGCTTTCTGCATTCGTGTAAAGCGCAGGCTTTTGTCTGACTTGATTTTACTAAGAGTTCGGAACCCCATCTGGAACCACTTCTCAGCTGTCTTCAGCCCCACTCCAAACACAGACGTAAAGAGCTGAAAGGGAGGGAAAGGCAGGCTGTTGGTTCCCCCAGATCATCACTATGACAACGGAGAGGCACTTTCCAAAGCTTCAGGCCATGGACAAGAAATACAAGCAAAACTCTTAAAATCAGCAAGAGTAGTGTGTGAGTGCGTGTGTGTGTATGTACTTGCACACATATGCATGGGCATATGTAACTGCATGTGGAAAATGGACATCAACCTCAGGCTGGGACAGTTGGCCAGTGAGCCTCAGAGATCTGCCCGTCTCTGCGTCAGTGCTGAGAGTTAAACGGCATGCCTCCGCACCTGACTTTTTATATTGGTTCCTAGGCTCTTGCTCAGGTTCTCAGCGCTTAACTGAGCTCTCTTTTGAGCCCGGGGATGGTAACTTTTAGAGGCTTTTTGTTTCTGGAGAATCCTCTCACAGCCACAGTGCCACAAAATGAAACAGGTGAGAGGCAGACCCACATCTGTGTAAGGGTTCGGCATAACCTAGGTGTCAGACTCCTGTTCTATGAATGTGTGAAACTGTTTCTCCAGCTGCCTCCAGGATGCTCCTCTCTTACACACAAGGGTGTAGCACGCCTTTGGTGGAAGGATGCTCAAGTAGGCTCGGAATGTTCCATCTTTAAATGGATAAAGGCAAAGTACAGGCTTAACCTGTGCTCTTGAGTCTGGGCTCCTGCTCGGCCATACATTAGGCATTGTATCACTTCTGTGCTAAAGGAACTGGCCAAAGTACCAGAAACTCCAAGCTAAGAAAAATTGGGAAGTGTTCAACCCTGAGTCCCGGAAATGAAGAGACAACAAGGACATGAGTTTGTGCTTCAGGACCAGGTATGTTTTAATTGTATTCTTATGTCCCTTTGACATTTGTAACTGTGAATGAAGATTCTAGGTAGTTAATTTCCTTATATGAAAGTAAGTCGGAACATCTTGTTTGTTCATGTACCTGCTTCTTAGGACTCTGTAATGAACTGAGTTGTGTACCCCACGTTGAAGCCCTAATTCTTGATGTGATGGTCTTTGCAATGGGGTTTTTGGGAGGTGTGTTAATTAATTTTAACTATCAACTCAACACAACCTAGAATCACCTGAGAGTCTTAATGAGGAATTGCCTGCACTACGTTGACCTGTGGGCGTGTCTGTGGGGATGGCTGTTGACTGATGTAGGAAGCCCTCTGTGGGAGATGCCATTCCCTAAGCTTGGAGTCATGCTTAATATAATAGTGCAAAGTGAAGAAAGCTAACCAAGAGCAAGCAAACTAGGACCCATACAATTGCTCACCTCTATCTCTGCCACAGCAAGGAGGTGGCAGGCCATTGGAAGCCACAAAAAGAGCCCTCCATAGAATCTTGACCTAGAACCTTGACCTAAACTTTCTGCTTTCAGAACAGGCAGAGAATAAATTTCCGTTTCAGCAGCTCAGTCTGTGGCATGTTGGCACAGCAGCCTGAGTTAATATAACCATCCACAGCAAGTAAATAGAAAACCACTCCCCAGTAAACAAATGTAAAATCACGTACTTTGAAGGATTTGTATCGTTCATCATTCAACACAGCTTTAACTTCAGAACTTTCCCCATCTTCAATAATTCCCTGCAAGGAGAGGTGAGCAAAAGATTTTGAGTTCTGTCCTTATATCCTCATCACGTCATGCGCAAACCCACAGCCCCAGCAGCGGGTTCCTCATAAAACTTGAGAAGCTTCCCTGGCTGATCTGAAGAAAGCAAGAATTTCCCTGTGTTACTGAAAACTCTTAGCTGGTCATAGCTCTAAAGACCCTTTAAAATCTTGGACAAGGTTACAGAAGGATGAGGACCTGAATTCATAGAACCTAAGATGAAATATTCACCGACAAGTATTGCCCAAATAGTACTGATAATTTTCTTCTCAATGGTTTCAACTTGCTAAGAGAAGGACTTTTTAGTCCATCAGATCAGTGGTTGGCCCACTGAAAAGCCAGTTATTATCAAGCCCTAATAAGGTCTAGCCCAGGGCCTCTGTTGTCTGAGCTGGGATATTTTTTTCTAGAATAACATACTTTGCATTAGATTTGATAGAAACTTGCTACTGAATGGCAAACTTGTGTTGCTAGAAAATCCTTAAATGTTGTTAAACATGCATCTCCTACCCAATCCCTCCCCAGAGCACAGAGATGCAGAATCAGCACACTGAGCATCACCCTGTTCTGGACCGGAAGAGCCCTAAGTGAGACCGAGCCTCTCACCTAGGCTGGCTTGGGAGGCAGAGCACTCTGCTGCTCTGAGATCTAAGGCTTTGGTCTTTTCCCTGATACATGCATCCATGGAGTCTTACTGGGGTCATGTTGGGTTATGGATTCTATACATCTATAGCCATCTCTTTCTGTGCTATGTCATCTATCTACAGTCAAATAAGAGGAGCGAGTCCACACCTATGTGGTCTCTTCGGTCTTCCCTTCACCTATTTGGAGGGGCAGCACATTCCGCTTCTCCCTTACCTCTATGATACACTTCACCTTGTCCCCTAGGCAGGGAATTCCCTCCGTGTCTTTCATGCTAACAATGGGAAATGGCAGCGATTTCAGGACAGCAGACGCTCTCATGAGTGCCGCATAACAGCCTTCGTTCTCTCTAAACTCGTAATTTTCAGCCAGGATATCAAAGGCATCCTGAAAAATAAAACCAGATCAGCTGGTCTCTTTGTCAGAGTCACTAGCAAGTTCCTCCTGTCCCCTTCACTAATGGGGTACCTTTGACATCAAGATCGACCTCCTGTCCCTCTGTATCCTCCCCTGTGGGACATTGTCACTGAACTGGAAAGACAGATGTCGAATGAAGAGTGAGAAAACTGAGCTCAGTGACATCAGACACTTAGAAACAACTCAGCCAAGCTGTGACCTGGTGCTTCTGGTGTCCCAGCAGTCATGCTGGGTATATATAACCCTCTGCTGTCTTCCTTACCAGTCAGTGGCCAGGGTTCTGTTATGAACCCCAGACCTCTGGTTCTCTTAGTTCGTACATCAAACCTACTTATGGAATGAGGGGTGTGTTCATCACACCGACCCAGAGTTGGGGTTATTTAAGGTGAGGCGTGTTTTCCTTACTAGTAGAGAAGGCAGCTGTGACTCAGGGGCTGCCACCCGTTTCCTGTTCTTCCCCACAGATGTGCTTGCAGGTTAGAGATGAGAAGCCCCGTGCTCGATACTGTACCGAGTGTGTTAGCCTGGCAAGCTCTGACCCCGGAGCAGCTGCGAGCCTGTCTACTGCCTCTATAGAACAAACAGAATATGTTTTTCTGTGTCCATATAAAAGAAGGCCCACTTGACAAAGGACCAGAGGTCAGGTTAGGCAGGCAGGCACAGAGAAACATTCTTAGATTTCCAGAAAAGTCATAATTTCACTTGTAGACTCATGAAAAGAAGCCTCAAGCCCTCCTACACACACACACACACACACACACACACACACACACACACACACACACAAACACTTTTGCCCTGGTTGTTGAGAAGACCTCGTTACCGTGAATACTTGGTTACAGTTGTCTAATGTGGTCTTTCTCTGGCAAGCATATTGGGAGATCTTTTGTTCAGTCGGTGGTGGAATGTTCTGGGAGTCTGGGGCATGACTCAGGGAAGAATCTCTCCTCACCTACACAAAAGCATAAGTGTCCATTTTGAACGACAATGTCAATTATAAGTGTACATAACTATAAACATTTACTCAAATGCAAAAACACTAACTTTAAGACAATTGCTCCTGGAAGAGGGTAAAATCACAGAGGACTCAAAATGTGTCACATGCATCTCTAGTGTCCTATCATAGACATGTACGATTGTTCTTTTTATTAGAATATATGGCTGGAGAGGTGGCTCAAGGGTTAAGGGCACTGCCTGCTCTTCCAGAGGTTTTGAGTTCAATTCCTAGCAACCACATGGTGGTTCACAACCAGCTGTAATGAGTTCTGGTTCCCTTTTGAGGAAGAGACCTGGTCAGTTGTCTTCTTCAGCTTAGACCATGAGACCCAATATGGACAAGTTCAACAGAGCCGCCATATATAGGCTGCCCATGCATGCTTCAGTGTTGCCAGGGCATAAATTTCATTTTCATTCACATTAATTACACCGGATAGCGAATTTTATCTCATGTATGTACAATCAATATATGCATTTTTGCAATCACAAACAGGAAAAGAACCAGCAACTAATGACCATTTCTTTTGTTGTGTGAATTGTCAGAGGTTCTAGCATTATTCGTCAAGGGCTTGGATTTAAGAACTCATATTCTTTAATTTTTTTATATCAGAGTGAGAAAATTGGAAACTTTTTACTTTTTTGACATCCAGAATGTCAGGGCTGAAGTATTTTGAAATATCTGTGCATAAATGTATTCATAATAATAGTTCTCTTAAACTGGGTGGTAATGGCACACAACTTTAATCCCAATACTTGGGAGGCAGAGGCAGGTGGATCTCTGTGAGTTCAAGGCCATACTGCTCTACAAAGAGAGTTCCAGAACAGACAGGGTCATTACACAAAGAAACCCTGTCTAAAAAAAAAACCCAAATAAATTAATAATAATAAAAAATAGTTCTCTTATGGGGCTGGAGAGATGGCTTAGTGGTTAAGTGCACTGGCTGTTCTTCCAGAGGTCCTGAGTTCAATTCCCAGCAACCACATATTGGCTCACAACCATCTGTAATGAGGTCTGGTGCCCTCTTCTGGCATACATGCTGGCAGAACTCTGTATACATAATAAATAAATAATTTTTAAGAAAAATAGTGCCCATCTATTCAGTGTTTTTAACATATCAACTGTGCATGATTTATCTACATGTCACTTCAGTTCTCACGCCATCTATAGAGGTGGGCAGGATTGTTACACAGAGGAGCAATTGGAAGCCCGACAGAGCTAAGTGGATTCCATAAGAAAGGACTCTGGCATCAGCCCGAGTCTGTGAACTCTGAAGTCCCCGTCAGTGGACCTCCAGCCAAGGGGGAGACTTACAACAAGTTGATGCTTTCCTGTCGTCTCCACGGGTTTCCCAGCTCCCATGCATTCAATCAGCCAGGAGACGTCAAGGAGTTCGAGCTCGGAGCTGGCTTGGACGTTCTGTAGCTGGAGCCACTCCAGGACATCTGACCCTGAGTTGTTCTCTGCCACAATGTGGGTAACAGAATCACTAGAAATGAAAGGCAAAGTTACCAGTAAAGGATGCTTCCAAAATGAGATGTTCTCCTTCCTCCTCAAGGTTTCAGAGTGTCCCAGCTGACAAAAGACAAGGTACACACTGGAACTGACTCCTGAACCTTCACATGAGGAAAGCAGCAGTGGACAGCATCCCAGGTTGAATGCATATACATACATACATACACACTGTGTGTTGGATCATATATACATATATATATGTATATATATATACACACATATAAGATATGTATATATATACACATGTATAGCAAGAATCATGTAAAATAGAAATTTAGGGAAGATGGAAGATGAAGCTAAAGTAGTATCTAGCAGGGTGCAGGTAGTTTCAGTAACTATTTCATTTCTGTTCATGGAAGACTCTGACTCAGTAATTTACAAGTTTGTCTGATGAAAACTGAACTATATTTTTATATGAGAACCTAAAGTTCAAAAAGAAATAGATGTAAATGTGCATATGCCTGTCTGCTTGCACCAGTTGGAGATCATGGAGCTAAATGCCTTAGATGATGCTCTAGGGGCTGAGAAGTTCAAAGTCGAGGAGGGCTCACTCTCGACAAATGGCGCACCTGCATCTTCGCAGCCTACATGAGACAGATGGCTAATGACGAGCATTCTGAACAGACCAAAGGTCAGGGTGAGATCAGGTGAGCTTTAGAGAAGGAACAGAGTTTGGGTGAACTGAGAGAGGCCTATGGGAATTGTCCTGGAAGAAAGGGACAGCAGAGGGTTGATGGGATTGATGAGACAGACTGGGAGGGGCATGTTAGTTGTAGAAATGACTGAGCCAGTAGTGACAGGGGTCTTAAATACCTTGTCTAGAAGCTTGGTTCTTCTTATCTGGGGAGTTCAAGCCAATGCAGACTTGTGCGAGCAGAACACAAGCAGTGTTAGTGTGTCATGTTTTAAAAGCTAAGCTGATCCACACAATGCTTTGGAAGGGAGAGAGTTCGGGTGGGAATATGTAGGGAATAACAGACCAATTCCTGCTACACTTGAAGAGAAAGCAGAGGAGACGCAGAAGGGTGCCTAATGGAACACCCTGGAGAAGGGGGAGCTACGTCATCCACATAGAGCACCCTGGGGAAGGTGGAGGGGGAGCTACGTCATCCACACAGGAATCACAGCGATGTAAATCCCTGCTATTGAAAGAAGCTGCATCTCTTTAGTGGAGAAGTGGAGACTAGAACTGAAGTTGCTTCTGTTGTGCTACACTTAAGGAAGCAGATCAAAATGAAAATGTCTAACTGGCAGGCAAGACTTCAGGCTGGGATAAAGGAAGGTTGGATAGGGGAGCACGGAGGCACAATTCTTAGTTAAGGGAGCCACCCTGGGGTTGGCAAGAGACTTGAACCTAGAGTGGCTCCCAGTAGCCCAAGGCGATGTCCCCAGTTAGTTCCTTGGGCAGCTGAGGATAGGGAACCTGAAATGACCCTATCCTATAGCAATACTGATGAATATCTTGCATATCACCATAGAACCTTCATCTGGTGATGGATGGAGATAGAGACAGAGACCCACACTGGAGCACTGGACTGAGCTCCCAAAATCCCAATGAGGAGCAGAAGGAGGGAGAACATGAGCAGAGAAGTCAGGACCACGAGGGGTGCACCCACCCACTGAGACAGTGGGGCTGATCTATTGGGAGCTCACCAAGGCCAGCTGGACTGTGACTGAAAAAGCTTGGGATAGGGCCGGACTCTCTGAACATGGCGAACAATGAGGGCTGATGAGAAGCCAAGGACAATGGCACGGGGTTTTGATCCTACTTAATGTGCTGGCTTTGTGGGAGCCTAGCCAGTTTGGATGTTCACCTTCCTAGATATGGACGGAGTGGGGAGGACCTAGGACTTACCACAGGGCAGGGAACCCGGACTGCTCTTTGGACTGGAGAGGGAGGGGGAGAGGAGTGGGGGGAGGGGGAGAAGGGTAGGAAGAGGGGGAGAAGGGTGAAAGGAGGGGGGAGGGAAATGGGAGGCTGGGAGGAGGCGGAAACTTGTTTTTTTTTTCCTTTTCTCAACATATATATATATATGACTTCAGGCTGGTATCACAAGACAGGCTGGAGATTGGACCTGAGGCCATTGGGGTGGCAGAAGTAAGTTGAGGGCAGACAACATTTCGTAGGGGCCAAGGCATGGCAGGTAACTATATCCTTAGATTAGGTCCTTATAATCCCCAAAATTATTTGTAGTAAGTTCCTTGAAAGGCTCTTAACATCAAACTTTAAGGCAACAACAAAAGGACTCGTCATTTCATAGAGGAGGCATTAGTTTATCCATACCTCTGCCCTTTAGAGGGAGCTTTTCATTATAAATATCTATAGATATAATATTATAGCTGTTATATGTCATTGTTTGTTATAATATTGAAAAACACTAATGCTTATTCTTCCTTCATTTCTTTTATTGTTTTTATAGCCCTATATGATTTTTTGCTCCCCTCCCTTCCTCTCCTCTTCCCTTCTACCCTCTCCCATGACCCCCACGCTCCCAATTTACTCAGGAGATCTTGTCTTTTTTTCCTTCCTATTTAGATCCATGCATGTCCCTCTTAGGTTCATCTTTGTTGTCCAGGTTCTCTGGGGTAATACTTATTTTATAGTAATGGAATTTTGTCTGAGCTCAGAGAGAAGAATGTGCTGAGGGGGTCCTGATGCTCAACCTCTGAGCTCCTCCTCTGCCTCCCTTCCTACCGCCCCCCACCACTCTTTTCCTGGGACTTTCTGGGACCTCTTAGGCAGGTCCCAGTTCACACTGGGTATGGGAACCAGACACCCTTTTTAGGTTTCAAAACAGCTTTGTAGGCTATGGCTCTGCATTGTGTGAAGGAAAGCTGGGATGGAAACTTCCGATTCCTGTTCATACAACTAGCAAAGCAAAATCAACATTGTGTCCTCAGAAACAACAACAACGACAAAATATATAAACAAGCCTCCTGAAAAGGTTTGTTATGCCTTACAGTTCCAAAGGATGACTTCCATCAAATGATAGCAAGAGCATGAGGCCAGATGGTCACACTCTGGAAGCAGAGAGAGAACAGGAGGTAGAACCCAGCAGTCAGCTACACAGAAAGAAAAGGCTTGACTCTTTTCAATGAGCATGACTCATTGGAGAAGTTTTCACCAGGATAGGGAGAGGGCGGGGAATAAAAACACCGCCATTCATTATACACACATAAAACTATTAAAAAAAATTCCTCAAGGCTTACCCCAGTGACCCACTCCCACCAGTAAGACTGTACCCCCTGAGAGGTTCCACAGCCATCACAGACAGTGTCCCCAGCTTGGGACCAAGCATTCAAATATATGAGTTTATGGGGGACATTTCACATGGAAACGATAGCAGAGCCTAAAGTCTGTGATATGGGAAACATGAACTCTTTCCAGTGATGGTGGAGTCCTGGGATAAAATCTTGATTGGGAGCTCAAGCTAGAAAAATATTGCAGATTTCAAACTTGATGCTTTTTTCGAGGAAGAATTGAGATTGTAAGTATCAAAATGAGGTGTTCTAAAATAAGGGCTGTGTCAAACAGCTAGCAAGAAGTCCTCCACTAAAGCAAGCAGGAGAAGCAGGAAAGTCATGGCCACAATCGTGTGGATGCGTGATGAGTCATGCAGAGTTCAGTACCAGGCCACTGGGTGTCAGCCAAGTAAGAAGCAGAAATTTGAAGTCAATATTTAAAGCTGGTTCTAACTTGATATTGCCAAACGAGCTTTATTATTCATGTTTAAATTAAAGCACTGAGTATTTTTTTTGTAAACTCGTCCTTTACCACAAATAATCTCAGAAATTCAATTTTAGAGGCTCTGTCCATCCTGGCCCAGTCCTCTTGTGCTCCCTGGCGTCTAACCCTAGCTGACATTGCCTCTTTGGGTTGGTGGCTGTCATGGTCTCCTGCAGACAATTCTCTCGGACTAAACAGTTCTTCATGTTGAGTCCTGAGCCTCACCAGACGGTATCACGGGGTGGCTTGCCCCCTCCAGCGTGCTCGCCTGAAAATTCCTTATTGATGCACTGTGACAATAAATCTACTTGGGAACATATGGATTTATCTCTGCTTTAAGTGCCTCAATATTGAAAACCCAAGAGCACTGAGGCACTGCCGTATGCCAGGCGCTGGTATTAAGTGTTAACTATATTAAATGCACACGCCATGCATTTGATTGTTAATAATGCTGTGAAGCAGGCATCATCAGCTCCACACAACAACGAGGAAAGACCTTGGGAGACACTAAAAACCCTACCCTGCTAATAACTGCAGGGGCGGGATTTGGATCCTGGTCTGTTTTAACCCAAAGCCTGTGAACTTGAGTAGCCACGAGTTTGCCCTCTGTGACTCGGTGCGTGGTTCCTGAGCAGAGGAATTCCACGCTCAGTTCCCTTCCACCCTCCTCACAGATTATCGGAATGAATGCCACGTCAGTAAGACAGAGAAGGAATCTGAATAGGTGCTATGCTGAAAAGCAAACGATTCCTCCGAGGGGCAGAGATATGAATGGAGACACTCTGTCACGTATCTGCCCAAGAAGCCCCTGTGTATAATTGATGTTCTCCTATTTTGTCAAGTGTCTGAACTACAAGACTACGGGAGGTTAGAGCTGTCCCAGGAAAGCAGAAAATAGCTGCTTTGGCTGCACACCAAGATCTACAGGAGGCTACAACTGCTCTGGGTCTCCAAAGGAGCCAGAACTGAGGACCATTTGGTAAACAATGCTGCCTCCACCGAACACTCTCAGCGCCTGGCTTCACCCTGCGTCTCTTTACCTAGTCTGCCTCTGGATGCAGTTTCTTACATGAGTGCTGGGGATCTGAACTCAGGTCCTTGTGCTTGCATGGCAATCACTTTAACAACTGATTTCCCCAGTCACATTTATACAAGATTGTTTTCTAGAGGAATTTTTGTAGTGGTTCAATAAGGACAACTAAAAGAAGCATGATGAGAAGGGGAAGGGTAGAGGAAAATGGGTAACA